GAATTTCTTCAATAATAGGTAACGGATATACCGGATATTTAGTTATGGAGTTTAATTTACGGTAGTCAATTGCGAATCGCCACCTTTTTGGATGTGTCAATGGATAGTCATTATTTTTTTTTACATAAAACCACCGGGCTAGCATAACTACTTGAGATGGGCGTTATGATCTTTTTACGTAGCATATATCGGTGATGTGCCATTCTATAATTTTTTCCTTATTCTTATCATACCGGTATGCTTTGTGGCGAACTGGCATTGAATCTCCGGTGTCAATACTATGGTTAGTAACCTTGAGTAAATCCTGGAATATCACTAAATAACGAAGCAAATTCACTTACCACTTGTCGGATTCTTCGTTGCTCTTCATTAGGCAGGTGGTCAAGGTTTAACATCGGCGGTTCAGCCTTTTCTTCTCGAACTGGTTTCATCGTCAGCTTAAGGGACGCTTCATTAAAATCCAGCGTTGCTTGTGCCTCTGAAAGAAAATCTATTCCTAAGATAATATGTGCTTGCAGATTCTTTACTATGAAAAACATAACCTTTACTTGTTCGTCCTTGATACGGACGTATAGCGGTAATTTACCTATGCACTTACATCTTTCTCCTTGCGCAGCTAACACTGTCGTATTATCCGAATTATATATGCGATATTTACGAAAATACTTCCTAAAAAAAATCTTCTGCCACACAGGAACACTGCGCGCCTGTATCCAGGAGTGCGGTGGCTGGGATATTATTCACCAACACTTCAATCTTCGGAAGAGTCAAATTTTTCACTATTACTGTATTTAACTTGAAGGAAGAGGGGTTTTCTTGGCCTTCGGATTTCCGCACCCTCCCGTCAGCAGAAATCCGTTTTAGTTTAAATTATTTTTCATTTCCATGCTTTCCTTCTTTTTCCACTGGCCTTGAGACTTTTTTCCTGGATTGCTATTGAACTGTCGACGTTCGCCGGCTGTTTTTGAATGCAAGGGTTTCCTTGCCCACTGATTCGCTTTGCTTCCGTAGCCGTGTGCTTGACTTTGCTGTGGTCTTGGCGCACCAAATTGGTTTCGCTGTTGATATTGGCGTTTTCTTTCAATGTCCGCCGTTCTTCTACTTTTAAACTGGATTGCTAGCTCAAATAACTTTTCCAGTGTAGTCGGATTCCTTAATTCAATAAAGTCTTGCACTTGGGGAAGTAACCTCGGCAAAATCACTTGAATTATCTCAGGATCCGGACGGTTTTCCATACAAGAGTTTTGAAAGACGTGAATTTTTCTTAAAATAAAGCTTGAGAGAAGATTTTCGAATTCTTTGCTGGTATATATGCTGAAAAGTTCCGTTTCTAATTTCGCACGATCCCTTACGACAGGGAAGGCTTTTACTAGGCGCAGTCTTGAAATTTTCGTAAGTATAGGTGGGACTTCCTGCTTGACCCAAGAGACTTCTGCCTATACATTTGAACCAGTTAAGCGCTTGGCCCCTCAAAGCGCTGGTAGCTAAGGTAACTTTTTGAAACTTCGTGCACGGGGTAGAGCATGAAGTGGTCATCCAATTTTTCCAAAAAACTGGTTACCGGTGAGTTTCCATTAAATGTTGCTTCTGGTTTCATCGAAGCGCGCATGGTCTGGACGATGTAACCAAATCCTTCCAGGGCGGCAGCTGGCATTTCTGGATTCTGAGCCGCTTCTGCAGGCAGCACAGGTTCTTCTTGAAACTCGGCCATGGTTATTATTCTTCGTTGGGCGCCACTATCAGGTTCAATGTTCCGTCTTACTTTCTTTGGGAACATGCAAGACCTGACTCGGAACAGGGAGCTTACTAAAGCTATGTTCTTTAAATGTGGGATGGGAAGTAGACAAGGATACACAGGAAGGGTATACGAAACCCTTTATTTTTCACTCTTTACAATAATTTCCGTACTTCGGAATACAGAGACCAACTACTTGTGGTCTGAACGTAAGAATATAAAAATATTTAACTAAACTCTAACTTAACTTTGGAATAATAAACAAGGGCGTACGTGGAAGATTGGCCTTATATTAACAGGAAGCCGTATGTAGTACAGAGAACTGTTAACACTACAATACGTTTAAAATTATCAAGAGGATTAAACCTCTGGCCTGGAAGGCAACCAGCAACCGAGTAAAACTGCTAAGGTAAGCGGCCTGCTTCGACTAACTCCTTCCTCTCTCTCGCTTGGCAAAAAGCCACAACTTAAGTACTTGGCGTTCGCCAGACAAATTTGCATAAATAAGTTAAAGCTTTTAATTCTGGCCGGAAGTAGAAAATAAGAAGTGATAGTAAAGATTTAAAATAAAAATAAACGTTAGTAAAACTTAAGATCCTTACAAGGTGTTGAATGTCATTTTCTATCAGCCTGAATTTTAATCTAAAAAATATTTTATGAGGGTGCAGAAAGTGGTTTATCCTTTTAAATTTTGCTCTCACAATGTTGGAGAGCGATTTTTGTGAATTCTCCTTTTGTAATATTTCGTTGTTAAGCCAGCATAGGAATCTGGAATTGCTCAGTTGCATCTAAAATATGATTCTGTACCACCATACATATCATTTTGCATGTAGACTCTCATCATAATAAATATACGAGAGTGCAAAACTTAAGCCGTTTTTTTTTTCTCTCCACAATAACTTCCTTAGAAATCATTTGAGACACATTAAAATCAGAATAAAGATATATTTTGCGTTTAAATGATGAATAAAAGAAAATTAGCACGAAAATGAATAGTGTATACAAACATATAACATTCAGTAAAGAATCAAGCAGGAAACGAGCTGTTTAAATGGAGTTGGCATAAGTTCAAACAGTTATGTACCCAAGAGGAGGAACAACAAGCAGATGTCCCTTAGTAAAATTTCGACCTCCCTTAAGTGCAACGTTTGTGTGGCACTTACGTTCACACTCAACACCAGAATGATCGAACAGTTCTTGTGATAAATCTACCCATTTCTCGACAGCCATCTGTTTCAGTTTTCCGGTGTTCGCCGATAAATGTGTCGTACGAAAAGACGTTTTTCCAAAAAATCCTAAACATGTTCTGTTTAACCCTGAGATGTTCTAATTTTTTAGTATCTCCTCCACAACACAAGTCTGATGCGTTTTTTGTGTTTTTTCCCCTTCAATGTTTTGTTAATACATAAAATTGAAGCCTGTACCAACATAAGTTTGAAAACGAAGCAAGTGCTAGAGGATCACTTCTTGACAATAACTATCCTAATTAATGGTATGCCCATCGGAAGTGTACAGGTGTTCAACATAATGGCCTCCCAAACGAGAATGTCAGGATCATGCTAATGGTCTGTTACTCTGATGTTAGAGGAATGAAGAAGTGTCCCGTCGCAGAATCATTCAGGTTAATGAAATGACTCTCATCTATAAAGAAGAAATTACCCTCATTGATGATGTTCTAGTTTTTGTAATGTTCATATCGCTTAAAAGATACTGCCTGCAGGCGGCCGTCAGTAGAGTGCCATGCTCAGGACAACAGGCATGTAACCCACTTTTACGAAGCTGAAATGCTCTGCATTAAATATTTTTGTAAATTGTACTATGGAATGTACAACACATGATTTCATTAGCTAGTAGATGTAATTGTTAAAGTAATTATGTCTTACGGATTTCTGAAATATACTGAAAATATATGTACAAACGTTCAATATATTTGTTAGTTTCAGCGTGTCGCACCATGTACTTCTAGGGTTTTCTTTGTCTGATATAAGTAGCACAAATATTTTCAACTTGCTAGTTATTATTCCTACACCCGTAACATACGTATCATGTTGTAAATGCATCTTTATTTGGTTTATGTATGTCGAATATTCTACATTTTGCAGCGCTTTTCATGTGAATTTCATTTATAATGTTATTTTCGATAATTATCGATGATGTTATTTTTTATACCAATACCCGGTTATATAAAATAGGCGACCTGAGATATTACTTACATGAGTGCGCCCAAACACCGGATATAGATCTCTCAGAAACCTCAAAGAATAATCTTCAGACTTGGAGAACTCGATTAACAGAAAAAGGGTCTAAAGGAAGCTCTCAAGTTAATTACATATAATAACACTAATGTTGATAATATTTAGGCCTTTTGCTCATCATATTGTTCCTAACTCAGAAACGTCTATTGCGAAGTATATTACTCAATCTCGCATAATGTTTAATCTGTAAGCTTATGATATACTGTTCACTTGAAGCAGTACAGGATTCCAATGTTTTTCCTCTCTTCAAGACTCTTGTATGCTCATATAATGTCCTACCGGGTCTTGTACCGGGTCTACGGGCGGTGGTACACAGATAGTAGTTTTTCCCTCTCCCAGAGGACACGCAGTAGCAGCTTAAGCATAATAACAGGCTTCCTGTCATCATGAGGGTGTAGAACAGAGAGAGTATCCAGGTACAACAAGACTTTACATACAAAACTCATTTATTTTCCCGTATGTTTTTTCAGACAGTTCCTACATTTGACAGATATTAGTGTTCTATCGGAGTAATTCTGAAATTCCATTTAATTATCGAGGTCGGAAGTCCTTTCAAAAGTGAAAAATAAAATGTGCTTTTAAAATAGATGTTTCTTACAATAAAATAAAATATATAGTTTTTATAAAGTATTTCTTAACTTAAAGATCTAGCAACAAATCTTATAGGAAATATCTTATGAATTTCTCTCAGAGTGAATCAGATTTACCAGAAAATGTTTGCTGATTAATCGGTTCATGCTGAAATATTTTCAGCAGAAAAGAATTATTCTTCAATTAGCATACACCTCTTACATTATAAGATAAAATATGAAGTCCATGTATATGGACTAAATGAAATTATAACTTTCAAGAATTTCTAGGTATTTGTCAAGGAAGAGTAAAAGCATTAATAAAATTATTAAAATTATGCCATGAATAATTTATTAAGACAATACTTTTACGAAAATGAATTTTTCTTTAAATTGAAAAATCTCTTTAAATGAGCTCAATAATGAGCAAAAGTTCATTACCTGTTCTGTTTTGGATATATTCTTCAATGCTTGCAGGATTAAAAACCTTGAATCGACTTTCGGGAATGGACGGACTTAGGCGAAAGTTTACATCAACTCCAATTTGATCATGTAAGTTCTTACCAACTGGTAGATCAGCAACAATGGGGATCTAAACAAGAGACATAGTAATAGTAGGTTCATCTAATTTTGAAGTTCATTAATATTTTTCAATCATCTTTTTGACAAGTGTCTACGGTTTCACATACTTACATAAAAATCGCGCGGCATATTAAATTCGATATGGAAAATAACAGCTAAACAGCTGACATAAAAATCATAAAATTCAATTTGAGAGCAACATCACAATATATTTAAAAGAGCATATCTTTAGAATTTCCGATGCACAGTCTGTGCTAGAGAAAAAATGTTTTTTTTTTTTTTTTTTTTTTTTTTTTTTTTTTTTGTTTTGTTTGTTTTGTTTTTTTCGTACAGTGTTGCCCTTGTTGGAACCGTTGAGTTATTTAATCAAAAATTCTTTAATGTCTGATAAAAGATGAAGTAGATAATAAAACCAATTCCAAATTCCAAACTAGGGCTTCCAGATGCCCATATTCGGTGGAGGATTAAGTTATTCAAAATTCGATGGCTCTAGGTACCGTTGTTTTATCCCAATGCGAGAAATATACATACATTTATGCAGATTCTTCATTATTTAATTTCTTTAAATATAACACAGGGCGATAATATTTGGAGGCAGCAATTTGAAAAGGGAAACAGACATTTAAAGTTTTCGACGCAAAATGACAAAACGAAGTTAATAGCCCTTCTGCGCTAACTCCCTTTGGGCTAAAAAAATTAATGTTGTAGTAATATTTTTAAATATTTGTATTTATTTGTTTTTAATTTTGGTCCTGATGTCTTTCTTGTTTCGTTGTTGTTGTTGCACAGCAATCCCTCAATTCACGAGCTTAATCTTGAAACTAGTTCAGCATTCAAAGGTTTCGTAAACAGAAACAGTTTTTCAAAGAATTAATGCAAAATAATGCGTTCCCGTATTCAAAATAATTGCACAGAAAAGATCAGTTCTTATTAAGGGTGTCCCAAAATTAACGCAAGATTTGAATTAAATAAAAAACGTAGTTTTTTCCTTTAAATTGTTATTTTTTATTGAATTATAAAGTACATAGGATAGGGTTATGTATGGAATAATCCATCGGGCAAATGGCCTCCATGCCTTTGCTGGCACATATGTACTCTCTTGTAGAAATTTTCTATGACCATTTTGAATAAATGTGGCTGAATTGCGTTGATGCAGCGTTGAATTTCCTCCTTGAATGCGCGTATGCTTCTGGGCTTGTTGGCGTAGACTTTTGATTTCGAATAACCTCATAAAAAGAAATCCAGTGCTCTTAAAGCACACGATCTAGGGGGGGCCAATTCTCATCACCGGAACGACAGAGTACATGCCCAGGAAATGTCTCATGCAGTAATTGAATTGTTTCAGGGCCTGTATGGCATATGGCACACACCGTCTCGTAGAGACCACATGTTGTCCACATCAATATCATCCAATTCATGCAAAAAAGAACTGTGTTATCATGATATCGAACACCAGTAGCATTTCCTATTTGACCACCTTCATTTTCGAAAATTTATGGTCCAATGATGCCTCCAGCCCAAATTCCGGACCAACCAGCGACACGTTGAGGCTGCATTTGTTTCTCGACAATTCACATGTGGATTCTCTGAACCTCAAATGCGGCAATTCTGATGATTAACAAAGCTATCAAGGTAAAAATGTGATTCATCGCTGAAAATGATTTTGTTCGAAAAATAGGCATCCACTTGTTGATGTTCGATAATCCACTCAACGAACTCTCTTCGCTGTTCATGGTCATAGACTTCAGTTATTATGTCAGTTTAACTTTGTAAACATGGAGACGCAGATCTACAGTGAGTATACGCTGTAGAGAGCTCCTTTAAATTTGCAATTCTCGTCCTAATTGATGTTCCTGGACTTTCACCAACACTCTCACGCACTGCTTCAATATTGACATTTGAATGGCTTGATTTTGAACGACCAGTGTTTAGAATCATCAATTGATCCAGACTGCTTGAATTTTTCAGTTACATTTTTTACAGTTGAAGTTAAATCACTATTCCAACCATATTGTGTGTAAAATTTTCTAACTGTGGCCACCAGACTCATTGTTTTTGAAATGTTGTTCAACAATGAAAACACGTTGTTCTTTCTTGTAACGCTTCATTTTTACTAACACTAAACTATCAGCGTTAAAATGGTTTTTTAATAGGGTTACTAACAGTTTACTGCACAAATGATTGCAAATTCAAACCTTGCGTTAATTTTGGGACACCTTTTATAAGTTCGAAATGCAAAACCGATGGAATTTATTAAACCCATAAAAAATATTAACACATACACAGTATAATAGTAAATATATACAAAGTAGGAAAACTTGAATTAAATTTGACCGTATTTCTACGAAAACACCGTAAGTAGAAAAAGGTGGAAAAGTCAAAAATGGAAAATGTTATTTTTTGAAAGAGAAATTCTATTCTGTCAGAATATCAGAAAACTGCTGTCTTTATCAGTATTTTTCATTTTATTTTTAGCCCAAAATGAGCTATTATTCTCGAAATAGGATTTTGCTTCCAATCACTATAAATGCGACATTTCACTTTTCATTTGACTCTGTTGCCATTCTAAAAATGTAAGATATTTATTATTCAAATTGAATCTGTCTGTTGTGGATTAACATATTAAGCTACCTGAAAGCATTTGTTAATATTTAACACAATATTAAAATATAAAAAGTAGGAAAACTTGAATTAAAATTTATTGTACCTTCTGAGAAGAACAGTAGAAACGGTAAAAAAGGTAAAACTGCAAAATGTTACAGGTTTCTCTTTAAAAAAAAAATTTCTAATTTCAATTTCTCATATTCCACAAAGTACACCACGAGGCTTACAAGTAAGTTATAGCACAAACAAAATGCATAAACAAATGAAAAATAATAAAATAAATAAACTAATACTAATGAATAAAATAAATAAACAAATACTAATAAAATAAATAAACTAAAGACAGACACTAAAAGGGAGAATTTAAAAAACTTTTTGAGTGAGAGGAAAAATTTAATAAATAAATAAAATAAAGTAATAAAAACAGAACTCAAATTCTATCTAAAATGTGATAGCTAAATGTGATAGCTGCTGTCTTTGCGTTATTTTCCCTCTAAACACTCCTTGTGTCTACTTCAGAATCGTTAATCCTTTGTCCCATTAAAAATTTATTTATCATTATTTGTTTCTGTCTATGTTTTAAAATGTTCATGAAGCAAGGCATACATTTCCGCAACAAATATTTATATTACGGCTTAGTATTGCTTTATCAGGATGATGGTGTTCTATCAACGTGTGCACCTCACCCCATTTTGAAAAAATTTCTCAGATTAAATAATTGGGACCATCTTCCCTTCCGCCTTTTTCTTCTGAAGATATTTCTTGCGCTGCTTTTGGGGGTATCATTTTTTGCGGGCTTACTTGTTCGTATCTCTAGATATCGTTCGTCATCCAAGATATTTTTCGTTTGGAAAATTTGTTTGTGAGCCGATTTGTTCGTAATCCAAAGCATTCGTGAACCAAAGTTACACTGTAATTTTATTTATTTATTTACTGATTATATTTACATCTAGTATATTCTATAATAATTGTATATTGAATATAGAGCATGTTCTGTAATAACTGTATATTTATTTAACACACATTTTATTTCATTTTAAAATTGTGGCCACTTCTTGTATTCGCATTATTATCCCAAAACGGACATTAGTTCCGAATGGGATAATAGTCTTGAAACGACATTTTGCGTTGAAGCACTAACAGCGTATCGGTTCTCAGGTTGTTGCCACCAAATATTATCGCCCTGTATTATATTTAAATAAATTAAAAAATGAAGAATCATTAATGTACACATTTTTCTCGCATTGTGAAAAAACAGCATTACCTAGAGCAACCAAATTTTTAATAGCGTATTCATCCACCCGAACATGAGCACCTGGTAGCCCTAATTTCGAAATTGTTTTATTATCTGTTTCATATTTTTTAAAACTTCAACGAATTTCTGATTAACATACTCAACGATTTCAAAACGAGCAGTTGCAACACTATGTGAAATTATTAGTTCAAATACAACTAGAGATTATGGACAGATAAGCCCGACTGGGCCTTGATAACAATTTATGTCCCCAATTTGGTAATGTTAAATGATTTCTCTTAGACATTTTTCAAGTTTTTCGAAAACGCATTTATGAAGCTGTAGTGGCGATTTTTCAGGGATATTCGCAATCCCCCCAAGCAATTATATGTATAAGAGTTTGTGAGCGAATTAGATCAAAGTTGATTATTGCTTCAGACTTTTCTCTGCGAACGATTTTAGAGGTCTGCATTAGTTCTTATACGTTAAAGAAAATTTTATTTTAGGTCTGACTTCTCTTAGGTTAATTTGCAGCCGATTGCCAGTAAGATATGTTTCAAACAAAAAACAAGTTTCAAAGCTTCCTCTGCATCTAGCCTATTTATACAAGCTTGTATAGCGCAACAATATTCATAATAAAAGCATAAAAATAAATCATTTTACAAACATGGCTTCAAAACTGTTTACGGAACTTTAAACTACTTACTACTTTGGACAAATGACATAGTTTATCAGGGCACGGTGCCTTTCCCACGTACTTCTTTGCAAAGAATCTCTCTTCAACAGATTCCTATACATATGGAGAGAGGGGTCACTCCGAACATTATATTTTTTCTGCTCGTTAACAATGCCATTTTCATCCAACTTCAGAAGGTATTTATTTTCATCTCTAAGATATGCACTCAGAAATAAGCACGTAAAGAATAAAACTGTGAAGCTTACCGCCAAAAAAAAGGGTTTCAGAAGCAGCGAAATAAAGCAATTAAACACGGATTCAATATTTGCGCATGCAACTCCACAGTAAAGAAATAATCTCCTCTAGAAATTTGAAGCACGCCGCAGTGTAAGGGCTAAGCTTATGTATTTCTAAACAACAAATGGCCAGGGGTGAGGAAGATGCAATCATTTCGAACACATTTAAATGCCATACCCCATCAGTCCAAGCACGTTAATAGATTACTTAAGCAACACTGTAATAAATTTCTGTTTTAACCATTACGTGTGTACAGAGTTTAATGTGTAATCTAGTTAGCGGTGCAAATGCCCCACCTCCATAAGTCCGAACATGAGCTTGTGATGTCGGGTTATGAAAACAGCAGCAGCACTTCGACTACAGAACGGCACCGTGGGTCCCAGGAAGGCAGTGTTAAATATGGATAGGTAACGTAAAGGGCCTTTAACTACTTACTATACTACTACTACTACTACCGTACCATTACCTATCATTCAGAGTAAATAATAGGTAGCCCCTGAACTTATACCTAATCTAACACGTACTCCCTGCATTTTTATTCTTCAGAAATACCAAATGAGGGAAATCCCTGAATGATAGCAGTTTATTTCTGCTTTAATTCCCAGTTGCGAACAGGTTTTCCTTATTTTAATTTAAATTCTTTCCTACCACACAGTACATGTCTTCAATAGTAAATCTCATCCTTCGCTCATTGCCTTCAGCAAGTTATCCCGTTAAGTATTGCATATCCTTTATCTTTATACATAACACTTGGCATTTTTGGTATTAGGTGGGTAGCTGGGAGAGTTAGTAAATATCTTGAATTCAGTCTAGGGATGCAATGAATTATGTTTGGTTGACTAAATGATTAATTAATCAAGGTACAGCGCGTGAAAGCTACCTCAAATTCTTAGTACAGGATTTTTTAAGAAGTGCATTAATGGATAGCAGCACAGTAAAATGATTAATTTAAAATCTTTTTTTTTATTTAACAGCCTCAGTATCCCATCCAATGCCTGTCTTATCAAAATGAGCAGTGAAGCTATCCGTAATTTGTAAATACATATTTCTCAAGAATAGTTTGCAAATTTTTCGTTTAAATAACATTCAGATTTGTTTCTGATCTCTTAATATATCAAGAGGACTAAAATTTGGTTTACCCCAGTTTTCTATCCAAGAAAAGGTTTCCAAATCAAAACTTTTAATGATTTTTTATCACTCATTAATAATAACCTAATTTAATAACAGTAATTAATGGTGCTTTTACCTTGAACCGTTCGAGCTCTTTCCTTGGTCCAATTCCTGATAACATCAGGATCTGAGGTGTATTCATTGTCCCAGCTGATAGAATGACTTCCCTTCTAGCTCTCACTTCATACGTTGTACCTTGAAAATCAAACTGCACGCCTCTGGTTCTACGATTTCTAATAATAACCTGGATAATGGATAAAAGTATTATTTAAAAGAAATATCACATAAGTGAAGCTAGGATGTGCCAGTTTATGTCCTAAAAACATATCTTGCGCTGCTTTTCAAATAAAAAGACGCTCGAAATGTTAGATTTAGTACGAAATTATTTCTTTCATTTAATACAGATTTTGAAAAAAAGATCAAATAAAGATCCATAAACATTTGTTTATATTGTGTAGAACGAAAAACGTCATAAGTGAACAAAAATATTATTCACGTAAAAGAAAAAACATGTAAATTTCCTTATAACTCCCTTGTTTATAAGCAATATTTTAAATAACATGGTTTCCTTGTAAAGGTTATACTTAATTTAGTATTGTTGCTTTAGTCCTATAACCCTAACAGACGTATAACTAGTTATCATTGTGTCTGAGATAGAGCAACAAAGTCTTACTAAGGTTATGAAAGAGCATTTTTATTTAAACAAAATTTTGAACAAAATTTTGAACTTTCTGCTACAATAACTACACCTCTTGGTAATGCAAATAAATAAGAACAGTCTATTAAAATTAAACTTTGATCAGTAGGCGAAGATTACATAATTAAATACTAAGTTAAAAGCTAGCTGAATAATTTACCAGCGCTTAAGATTAAAGCATCGGCTCCGAAAGAACGCAAGGCTGAAATAATCATAACTGCTAGAGTTGGCTGAAACTAACCACGTAACGCACAATGGTAGCTCTCTCTCTCTCTCTCTCTCTGCCTCTCACTTGAGATACAGAAAGCCCAGCTTAAATACACAATTTGCATTCTGGTGAAGAATACAGAAAACAGAAGTTATAGTAAAGACCGTAACCATAATAACTGATTAATTGACGTAAGATATTCTACACGCTCTTACGTATTCTTATTTCTATCAATTAGTACGCAAACTGACTTAATAAATTATTTAAAATTGAAGTCTTAATTAAATAACTAAAAAGTTGTTTTACAGTAAACTCTTAATTTTTAAAATTTATTGTGATATGAAATATTGTAGTTTTGTAATAGATTCTTGAAACATTAAAGTAGGGAAAACCGAGTATAATAAAGAGATATTAAAATTAAATCATAGCCACCTTTAGTTCTCAAATTTATTTTGATAAGAGTAGATTAATTAAAATTTCAGAAATTAAAAATGGAAGCTTCTAGAGAGGAATATGGAAATACAAACTATTGTTGAAAGATATTATCCATGAAAGAAATTAAATAATTTTTTAAATAACTGATAAAAAATGCTTTCGAGTATTTTTGAACCACAATAATAAGTTATTTTTGAGCTGTTCTAAGCACAAAAAATTACAAATCAAACTACAAGTAATTTCATTACACAAAAGCAAAGCAATTACAAATTATTTTTTACAAGTTCAGCCCCGATAACTATCTGAATTTTTATGTAAATCAATTATTGAATTCTCGCATTTTTTATTACAATAAAATATCTGATGTGGGCACTATATGACTTCCTTATAAAAAATCTGAAGGATTTTATAAAAATCTTTCAGGATTTTTATAATTTATTATAAAATTTTTTATAATTTATTATAAAAATTATATACTATATATCCTTATAAAAATCCTGAAGGATTTTTACAAGGAATTGTTCCATTAACAGGCCTTTCTTGTATGTAAGGCCTGTTAAATTATACATATTTTTTGCTACACTTCATTTAAACTTATTTCCTCGAATTTCATTAGAGATATATAGTTCTCATTCAGTCAGTTCAGTTCTCACTTCGCGGCAAGGCAAAAATATATAAAAACTCAAAACATCTTCATTAAAATTTGAAAAATATACAAAAACATAAAAAACCAAATACAGTTAAAGGAGTTAAAAAAACAACTTTTAGCATTAAACTTAGAGTTTCTATGCAAAAGCAAGCAATGAACTAAGCGCAAGAGTTCCTCTACGTAGGATATCCCTGTCGCTGAATCACAGACGCCTCTGACTTCAACGGGCACGGCAGCACAATGCGTGGTGTGGCTTATAGCAAAAAGTTGTTTTCTCCGATGAATGTCGCTACAGTCTGGAGGACAATGATGGAAGACTACGTGTCAGACTTTACAGAAGGCAACGTCTGCTACCACAGTGAGTTATCCAGCGTCATACCGCACAAACGTCTTGCATCATGGCATAGGGAGCTACTCTGTACAATTGTCGATCCCATCTAGTGCAGACTGCGGACAACCTCAACAGTGATCGCTACATAAGGCAAGTTGTGAAGTCAGAGGTCCTCCCCATTTTCGATGCATTTCGCGCGCTGTGTTTTAGTAGGATAATGCTCGTGCACATGCTTTCAAGACTATACAAGTCTTCTTTAGGGCACAATAGGTTTCGCTTCTTCGTTTTGCTTATTCTCCGGATATTGAATTGCCCATTGATCATATCTGGGATTTCATCAGTCAGCGACTCGCTCGTACAGCTGGTGAGGTACCGAACTTTGGCGCCATATGAAATGCCATTCCCCAGGATTGTATTCAGAACCTGTATGATTCAGTCAGTACCACGACATGTACAGGCTCTTATGTCTCAGCGTGGCGGTCAAACAAAGTACTGATTTTCGACGTTCTTTTTTTTTTTTTTTTTTTTTTTTGTGTGTGTGTGTGTGTGTGCGTCTTGTAAACATGATTGTTTTTTTATACACTATCAGTAATATGTGGATTAAATTTCATTCATTTCCTACAATTCCTTTGTGGTGTTGCGTTTTTCACAAACATTAGTGAATGTACAGCTGATTGCAATGAAAAAAAGGAAGTGCACAGCTAGATCTTACAATAATTCCATCATATGCAAAATTTCAAACTTTCAGCATTCAATGTCTGTCCGCTTTTGAGTTACATATGTACAGACGTCTCGAAAAAAATCTCTTCTGAATCTATTTCACAATCCATTTTAGGAAAACGAGTCCTTTATTCTGTCCGTACGTACAGATATCACGTAAAAATATCATTCAAATGAATTCAAGAGCGGTCAAAATGGATATTTTAGTTGAAATATGATACCTGAAATTTTTTATGATTATAGTATTTCCTTTACTTCGTACAAGGAAGTAAAAAGAGAGCAAAATGATCTTAAGAAACGAGGTTTACCCATTAAAATTAAACACTCAAAATGTACGCATTAATCTTATTTTTATGTAATTTTATTTATAGGGTCATAATTTTCATCTAATTCATTCCCTGTCCTCTCTTTCCGCCAGATGACATTGAACATTGTACACAAAGTGTATTTAAGCAGACATGTTCTGTGTTGAAAGCAGACGGAATCTAAAGCATGATGTTTTCACTTCATTCTTCGAAAGTACGGATAATCGAATATATTAAAAACATTTCTTTTAATATATCATTTTTCAGGCATACGCCTTTAGATACTTTCTATATCTACTAAGATTTCATCTTTTAATTTAACTCGCTAAAACACTATCATAGACAAAACTCTAGGATACTATTGTAGACAATAGACTGCTATAGCTAGCAATAATATGAATAAAATATTTCTTAAAAAGGAATTATTCAAAATGGGACTACAAAAAAATTTTAATTGGGTAAATTTGATTTATTTATGAAAATATGTATTTGAATTACCTTCCTAACCATGGCGTTCGGAAGTATGTCCAGGTTTGTCCTGTTTTCTGCTGGGACTAGATATGCTTTAGCTGCACTGCAACGTTGACCAGCACGTAAAGTGCCTTGAAGATCATAAAATCCTTGAAAAACAAATGATTGAAATTCAGATATTTAAATAAATAATGCAATATATGATTATGTAAAATACTAATTTAAAGTTTTATTCATTGCAGTATTTTGTTCAATCAGCGCATTTTAAGAGTTATCCTACAAAACAAGTAGCTTTTCTCTGAAATTCCCTGTTTTCCAACTAAAATTAATATATTATAATCTAATCAAGCTACATGGAAAATAAAGCCAAGTTTATATGCATTGTTTGTGCATACATAATTTATATGTATGATTGGGAAGAAACATGAAAGAAGTTTTGAAATTTGTTATGAAATTTTGAAATTTGTTTGAAAACATGATTTTTTCCCATGAATATTCAGCTTGGTTGTCTATGTTGAAGCGCGGCCAGGTGGTCCCCATGACATCGCCTTCTTTGGGGTATCTTAGAGGATCCATTTTTCGTCATCAGTGACTATACTATAAGGTATTTGTCCCGTCTTCCTAGCGTGCCTTCGTGGTGTAGTGGTTCTGCACGCTGGGCCGGTATCCAGAGATCCGTGGTCAAATTCCCGGCGAAAGCGTTGCTGATTTTTCAATCTCTCTCGCTTCCAAAAAAAAAAATCCTAATCTTTATTTCTTATATTCCGCGGAGCGCTTCCCAGACGGTATAGTGGTTAGGGAAGCCTGCCTGCGATACCAAAGGGCCAAGGTTCGAATCCCGGAGAAGGTATGGATGTAAAATTGTCTGTCTCTTCATAGGAAGTAGCAGTGGCCTGTTAGGTGCCTCCACAATAAAATGGCCACCGCTAGTAGCGGCCAATGCCGTTACAGGTAACTGGCCGCCATCGGGAAAAAAAAAAAAAAAAAAAAAAAACATATTTCGTGGAGCAGAAAATGGCATCATGAAATTTTATTTAAATTAAGGTCAAGCACGGTGACTCATACAGTTATGCGTCATATTTTTATGTGTTCCCGGGCTGCGTAAGAGTTCTGTTTCCGCTGTATGAGCATTATTCTGATAGGTATAACCTTAGGTCGGAAGCCCTTACAGCGGTGATCGGTCAAAGTACGAGGCAAATCCAAGGGGCCACCGTTGCTTTTCAAATCTTCAACATTTCTATGCCATCGACTCTATGATGTTCCAGTTCCTCAATTTACTGGAGCTGTGGATGGAATTCGTCTACCTAACTGATCAGTATTACTAGCCGTTCGGTTGTAAAAGACTGTATAACTGTTTTCTGGATCATTTACCGAGATGCATTACGATCGTCATCATCATTTTTTATTTCTAGGTAAATGAAAAGTATTTCCGGTTTCAGGAGCTAACGGTTTTGCTCAGATTGTGATAAAGAAGAAACTTATCTCCCGTCTTCTTGTGCCGAGGGCTCTTTTTGGTTATATTATGTAGTCTAAGAATTAAAATAACCGTGTTATGTATTTTCACTTATCCTACAAGGTGAACTCTGCTCTGCTCCGAAACTGTGGAATATTTTTATTAATTCGAACAAAATTCCAAAATCGTTTCTTAATTCTAATTAATACTAAGATTTCATATGCGTTAAAATGCAATTTTGAAGTGTTAATCATAAATTTTCAGGAAAGGTTAATGATTTCACAAATACTTAATTATTTTGAAAGTCAAAAACTTATTGGGTGTACAAATAAGTTTTCGCACTTTTTTTAATCAAATTCATTGTGAAATATTTTATTCGGTTTGTTATGTTTTATTTAAAATATTGTTCATCGCTAGCCACTACTTTTTCCCAACTTTCTTGCAACATACGGATACCGCCTCGGAAGAACGCTTCATCTTTCGAGGCTATCCATAAATCAGTCCAATTTTTGGTATCTTCATATGATGTGAAGCGCTGCTCAGATAGGCCATGCGTCATCAATTGAAACAAGTAATAATCAGAAAGAACAAGGTCTGGTGATTATACCGAGAGCAGGGAAACTTCTCATTTGACTGTCTCCGAATAAGTTTTTATCGGCGCTGCAACATCTGGATGTAACATGCAGGAAAATAATGTTGTCATGTCTGGAGTAGTGGGAGCATTTTTCTTTGAGTGCTCGGCTCAGTCTCACCAGTTGTGTTCGGTAGAGAGCCCAGTAATAGTTTCATTGGCTTTCAGCAACTCGCAATGCATAACACCAAGTTGATCCCACAATATACACAACATGATTTTTTCCCATGAATATTCAGCTTGGCTGTCTATGTTGAAGCGCGACCAGGTGGTCCCCATGACATCGCCTTCTTTGGGGTACCTTAGAGGATCCATTTTTTGTCATCAGTGACTATACTATGAAGGTATTTCTCCCGTCTTCCTAGCGTGCCTTCGTGGTGTAGTGGTTCTGCACGCTGCGCCGGTATCCAGAGGTCCGTGGTCAAATTCCCGGCGAAAGCGTTGCTAAATTTTCAATCTCTCTCGCTTCCAAAAAAAAAATCCTAATGTCTCTACAGTGGCGGCCGAACTAAAAGAGTTGTTGGATGATGATTCTCCGCACACAGATTTGGCGACTGGGTCCCCTAAAAACCCCAGTTGCCCTTTAAAATGGAAGTATATAAGGTATTTCTCCCGCCTTCCTAGCGTGCCTTTGTGGTGTAGTGGTTCTGCACTCTGGGTCGGTATCCAGAGGTCCGTCGTTCGATTCCCAGCGAAGGCGTTTGCTAATTTTTCCTCTTGCCTGCTTCCAAAAAATACGTAATGTCTCTACAATACAATGCGAAAACCTCTTTCGTTTATGCCTGGCAAGCAGCATTTCACGTGTAAAAAAATCGGCGTTCAATGTTTCTCGGTTTCAGTTCATATAGAACACAATATCCTTGCTTTTGAACCATTCCCAAGAATTTCAAACGATGTGAAATTGGTTTTTAAGTCACTCGTAATATAAATGCAAGTTCTACTGGTGTTTGACATGAGTCTTCATGCAATAAATGCTTCAAATTCTGCATGTTCCTACGCTTTCATCCTTCCGCTCCGTTCTTTGCCTTCGACGTCAAATGCACCGTTCTTCTGAAACTTAAGGTTGTTATCAGATGTCCAACCTTACGATATGACGTTTTACATCAGATAATTTAATCATAACTGGTGGAGCCATTTTTTGTCAAACGGAGGAGACTTACACTCCCAATAATTTCTGGCTAGATTTAAATGAAAGTGAACGTATTTTCTGAGAAAAATTATTGCAAGGAATATTTCCTAAATTGTAACAAACAATGCAGGAAATGCAATATCTGTTTTCATCTCAGCTAGTAAAATGTTAATTCCAATCGTACATGTTTGGTAGAATTCAGTTTATGGAAATATTTACCTGTTTGACGATCACTATTTGGATCTACGACTTTATATCCCATTTGTGAAGCAGCTTGGTAAATGGGATGCTTGATTTCGGCCTTATATCGAGGGCGATGTACAGTAAGAGGTCCACCGACTCCATGGTATCCTGTGTTAAGATAAAGCAATAAGACCTTTGCACAGATTTAAAAAACATATTGTATAATCATAAAAGTAAATTACAGTGTACCTTTTATTTACAAAGGAATTACACTTTTCTTTTCGGCGAGGGATTCCTTTCGCTATATAAAATAGAGCGAAATGAAGCTATATTTTGAACGAACTATATTCGAGCCCGATTTCGAATATAACGAAAAGAAGCCATATTTCGATGTCAGTGTTCATAATAACTTTTAAGAAATTTCTGTGGGAAAAGTTCTGATTTCCTTGAAGTTTTACAGAATATTTCGTTGACTTGTGCAGTAAGTTCTACCAATGCCGACAGACAAAGGCAATTTATTTTAGAACTGAACTTTTCCTGTTGATTTAAAGCTTTTGCATCCAAGCATAAAGTGAAAGGGTATTTGAAGAAATCTTGCTATATATTTTACTCTTTCTTTGAGAAGTTATAGTCTTCAAACTGTTTGTTACAGCTAGCCACAGTACAAATTGATTCCTATTTTATAAGCGATTTGAAATGGGCAAAATGCTAGTACCGTCTAATAAGAAACTTCTATAGACATTTGCACTGAAAGAAAAATTGTTATTCTTCCTTTTGTACGCCATATTTTAATAGAATGTTTAGTATTTGTGTTATTAATTTTTTTACTAATAAAGATCTTTTCGTTGATTTAATAAATATCTTTCCCTAAAGATCTTCCCTATATAAGAAATTATTTCGTCAACTGTCCGGAAATGCATTAGAAAGTGCCTTCTCTTGTATTAATCAGGCTTTCCTCTCTATGATATATATTTTTATATAGCTATATATTTATTTATGCAATAGATTTGCAGTATTACTTTATTAACGTTTTACTTCACTACAAAATGTTTGTTTGCCTGTGTGTTTGTCTGTTTTCCTGTTATCTAACCAGCTCATTTGTAAAGATATGACATAAAATATTTAAATGCACCTCTACTTAACGTAATATACGTAAAACATCTAGTCAGTAGCAGCATATCGTTTATAAATAGAGCTTGAAATTTTTTACGCTTTCAAAAGGAGTTAAAGTTGTAAAAAAAATCATAAACTACGTAAAGTTACACTATGTTAATCTAAACAGTTATTATAATTTAAATTTTTACCTAACTTCCTCTTAAGGCCCATATCACACACGCATTTGTTTCACACGAACAACTGTTTCGGACAATTTTTCTATCTGGTTACTATTGAAAGAAAGACGCGCGATTTCTTCCTTCCTTTCGAAAAAAATTGCAAGTTGTTCTTTTCAACCAATCCGCTATCAGCTTCGAATGCTACCAGCTTGTTTGTGATGGAGAACCAGTTTCCCTTGTGTTAACCCGAAACGATCTGGGATGATTGGCTGTTGTGACAAAGCAGAAAAATTGTTCCAAACAGTTGTTTTTCCGAAACAAACGGATGTTTGATAACAGCCTAACGCTTCTCTATGAGAATGCAAATCACGTGAGGCCACGTTAGTAGGTTTCGCTACCTCAGACAAGACACTGTAGTCTTCGGCTTTGCGTTATAATTGCATGAATTGCTAAGCCGGTGAAAAGTTTGTAACAACTTTTATGTTAAATATGTTATGTAGTCTTCATTTACTAGATTTAGTTTAAAGTTGAAGTTGATTGTTACTGTTATCTTGACGCAAGTGGTTAGCTAACTTAGTTAAACACAAGACATGCATTTTATGTTCAAGGTTCTGAGTTTTAGAAAAATTTATTCTGTAACTTTTTCAAGTCTTTCTCGTTATAGTTAGACGAGTTGTAATTCGCTCTGAGTCTGTTAGGCGTTTGTGCACCAGTTTATGATACCAAAGAAAACTAAACTGTATAACTCATTAGTAATTAGTTACTGGCACGAGTCCATCTAAAGCTGGAACAATCATGACGCATTATATCTACCGGACCATTTAGTATTTTAATTTCAGTCCCCTTAAACGAAAGAAAGAAAGAAACATCAGTAGAAGCTATACATGATATTATGAAATGCATTTCCAAACAGCTTATTATTAAAAAAAGTACGCAAATATTTCCTTACCATTTGCCACATATTCTGGATCTCTGTTGTCCTCCATTTTCTTGAAATAAGGCAGGACTTCTTCATAGCTCCATCCTTTCGCTCCTTGTGCAGCCCATTCATCGTAATTCTTCTTATTGCCACGAGAGTAAATATTACCGTTCAATATACTAGTGCCACCTATTGTCTTTCCAGCCGGAAAAACCACTTGCTGTTAAAGGTACAAAATGATAAATTATACACATTGGTATTAGTGAAAGATGCAAGAATAGCATTCCAACTTGAATATCTGATACTCATTCACAAGCTGATTTTAGTAACCTACCGTTTATTTAAGAGAATTTTAGGTAACTGCCTACCGAGTATAAAAGATTAGCTTCTCCTGAAGATGAGAAGCAGCATTTTTGTGCAGTGGAACCTCGGATAACGAAAGTCTCACTTTACGAACACTTCGGTTCAAGAATAGATTATCTGAACAGAAAACGCCTCGGACGACGAAAGGTGTTTCGAGTTATGAACACTCCAGTCAGCAACATATGGTTTTCAAAGGAGTTTCGAGGTAACTTTTAATGCATAATTAACACTTGGGGACTTATGGAAGCATCATTTTAATATTTTCCATAGCTTAACTCTTATTAAAGAAAAGCATGGCAACAAAGTTGAATTGGGCTTAAAGACAAAGAAAAGATAAAAGAAGATGCTTTCTAAAGAACAGTTATCTGATATTTTTGGGAAAGTGGAAGCTTCATCCAAACGATAACATCTTTCTCATCATTTTACATTAATACCATTTTCTCTTCTTCATACAGGTGCAGAAAAATTAAATTAAGTGTTCACCTATTTTATCTGTTTAATACTGTGTTTAAATAGTTTGTTTAGTACTGTGTTTAATACCGTGTCGCCTATTTTATCTGTTTAATGCTTTCTTTTATTAATTAAGAATTAATTAATAAACTATTTAATGATTTTTGTTGATGTTTTGGGTAATAGACTTGAGCACAAAAGTGTGCTGTAAATTTTAAGTAAGTAATCTTCTGTATTCCAGGAACGAATTAATCCATTTTACATTAACTCCTATGGGGAAAGCTGTTCGGTTTACTAAAATTTCAGTTGACTAAAGGCCTATAGGAACGATTTAAATTCGTAAACCGAGCTCTTCCTGTATCTTTTAATTGATATTAACTACAAATCTAGAACAGTTTCTTCATAATTATACTTCAAATTTAAGAAAGAACCATTACTACAGCATTCTAATGTTACTATTACTAGTAACAGTACATGGTACTTTTAATCATTAAAACGCAGTTTAATCAAAATTGATGGTGCATTTGGAGTGCGTTGTTAATATTAAATAATGAATAAACCATTAAATAGCATCAGCAACACAAAGTGTTTTTTAATTATCAAAAAGCAATATAATTAAAACTTAAGATACCAATAAATGCATTATTAATATTATCTACGTAATTTTCATTGATTTAGAAACATTGACTCAGAAACTACTGAGCATATGATTAGTCTATAGAAATTAAATCGAAATTTATGCTAGGAACTTATTAACTGAACAGCTGAACTTTTCCTATTGAATAAAAGAACTGATTTACATCTTTTTGAAAAAAATAATACACTCTAAAACATAAAAAGCGACGCACCAAGAAGAAGTTATCGGAATGTGACAAAAATGCGGACGCCCAAATCTAAAGTAGGAATTTGCAAATGATTACCTTTGGCGGCTAATGACTAACTGGAGCCTCAGGACATTACAGAGCAGTATTCGGATGGTGTATAAAACAGAGACATTCTAATGCTGAGGGTATAACTTCCATGCGACGCCTCACAGACGGGCTCGTGAACAGTAACAGCAGATGTTAGAATTTGAGAGAGGACGTGCAGATGGACTAAAGGAAGCAAGGTGGCTAAATCCTAAGATCGCCAGACATTTGGTTTGGAGCAATGCTACCATTCGACGATGTCAAGAATGGGGGAACCATGACCGTACGTTCCTAAGAAGGTAGCGACTGACCGAGAGCGACGACAGAAGGCAAGAACAGAGTGATCATCCGATCGGCGATCACAGCCCCTGATACGTTCTTATCAACTATCCCACTGTAACCGGGACACCAGTGATTGCGATGACCATTGGTAGGCGACTCAGAATACGGGAGCTGAGGTCACGGAAGCGATTGCTCTGACTGCTGCTGCACACCGCAGGGCACGTTTGCAGTAATTCCAGGCGCATTCTAGCTGGGATCTCATGGATTGGAGTAGAACTTTTTTCAGTGATGAATCTATCTTGGAGCTAAGCTCCGATGACCAGTAAAGACGTGTATGGAAAAGTTCAGGATCACTTGAATGTCGTCCGTCACACAACCCGACAACCTAGAGCTATAGTATGAGGGTCCTTTTCATTTAATTTTCATCCGTGACACTCTTACAGCACGGTGATACATGGACAAGATTCTATGCAGCGTAGTTTCGTCCTTTCTTTCACGAACTCCTAAGGCTTACATTTCAACAGGATAATGCACGGCTGCACACTCTACGCCTTTGTACTGCTTATCTTCGTGCTTCCCCAACACATTCCTGGTCGGTGCGATCGGCAGATTGAGCTCCATCCAGAATGTTTGGGCTCTGATGAGAAGACGTCTTCGACCGTCGCTGGATCGATCCGATCTAACTCGCCAGTTGGAACGTGTATGGCAAGCAATCTCCCAGAAAGATATCCACCAAATCTGCAAGTGAGTATCCAGCGGGATGAAAGCTTGCATCAAGGCTAGATATGGGCTAATTCATCATTGATATATTTTGCTCTTGTAGCTGCATTTCCTGAATAAAATATTTGATTCATATAACACTATAAGTGTTTTGTTCTCAGTGCATGAGTTTCATGCCTATCAGTTTCGTTCCATTCGGATAACTCCTTTGTGCGACGCATGTTATGTTATAGAATGTACATAAAATCGCATACATACCCTGTTCACGAGGCCATTTCCTGTATACTTTTGAGGCACTGTTCGATAAGGCCAGGCTATATCTGAATACCAGAATGCTTCGGACACACCTGGTACTTCTGTGAGATAGGGTGGAGGTTTTCCAGCCTCCAGTAAAAGGACAGACACACATGGTACTTCTGATAAACGACCGGCTAATACTGATCCTGCACTTCCAGCACCCACTAAATAAAAATATGTTTGAATTTCTGCTTGTTTTCAGAAAAGAAAACATTTTCGAATTTTCTTATATATTAAGAAATGAAATTATCATTAATTAACTCTAAACTAAGTTTAAATTATTTTTACTGCTTTCATCTTAAAATTGAATGAATCAGATAAAGAAATCTACAGATTACGTAAATTTAGTTTATGAAAAATCTTACCTTTTAAATTTTATTAAAACTCGTAATATAGAAATCATCCTAATCGATTTATCTTCATAATTTTTATGCTCATCATTTTGGACAAGCTAGAAGACTAACACCCAGATTCACGGCTGTAGTAGTATAATATTACAGATACTCATAATTTAAGTAACATCAACTACTGTTGTAGGCCGTTCCTGTATTCATAGGTATAAAAAAGGTACTTTTCCGTTTTGCAAACGATAAAGTCGCCAATAATGGTACAACTAATGCCAAAGGGAATAGCTTCGCTGGTAACCTTTTACACTTCATTTTCAAAACAAGTCGCAGCCATTTCTTACCAGATTGAATACTGGCATACAACTGCATAGAATATTTACAAAGATAATCAAATTTTATGCCCCAAGAGCATTCGCGGTAATTAAGTCAATTAGGATGCAATTACACCACTCACCCGAAGGCGAAAATATAGAAATGCAAAATCAAGTGTTAAATTTATCAATTCTAATGAGAATGCACTAGCGAAGTAAAGCACTACGGTTTTATATAATTTCTCAGTAAGCTATTCGTACGAATTGAAATAATTCTTGCATTTAAACTTATATTCAAAATTAAGATTTAACTTCAAATTAATGTAGATAATTACTGAGAGAATTATATTTTTGTATCGTAGTTCACGTGAGATGAGATCACTTGGGGTCATGTTATACGAACCGGCGAATCAGGATGTTGAACCATTATAGCATAGTAAATTCTTAATGTCTTTTTACAAATTTATTGTCTTTATTTATTGGCTTTTTACAAAATTATAAACCATATTAAAATGTTTATGCCTTCAAAAATAAAAATTCTTAGAACTAACATTTGTTAACATTTTTTATGTGTATACTGTATGTTGTTGCCGACAAAGTCAGATTGGCGAGATTTGCGCCGGCGAAACGGAAAAGTACCATAAAAAATTTACAGGCAGTTTTATTCAAGATAGATAATCTAGAACCAGTTTTCAGGTTTTATACAGTCATTTCAAAATGGAAAAAAGTATTCAAGTAATTATAAATCATGAAGTGAAAACATGGGAAATCCGTTTAGAAATACTTGGATATAAAATATGAAAGCTAATTCTAAAAAATCCAATTTTATTGAGTTCCTTGTGAAGTCCTTTTAATATTTCGCGATTTCAATATAATAAGTCAAGCTATGCGTTTTCTAAGCTATTTTGCAGTAAAAAAAAATCCTTTGCGTATTGCTGATTCCAGAACTTATTCTAGAATCATTTTTTTTTTTTTACAATTAAAATTAGATTTTTAATTTCATATGTTTCATAATCATAGATTTCTATATGTTCCATTAACTGAAGCGTGTATATGAGCCAATTTCTCATAGAAAATCCTCCACGGAGGCATCATAACTGAAGGCGAACATAGAGTATATTTGTATCAATTCCTTCATTTCCTTATAACCATGGTTTCCTTTTATTTTCTAAACTTAATTGCATGCATAAGAACAATTTCATGCAGTCTTGCAGGGCGCAGATTTTAATTTTAGAAAATTTGGACTGGATAATTACTGGATTTTTTTATATTTCATGTAAACCATTTTACGACTAAAACTGTCGAATTTTCGAAAGACATATTTCAATACAGCTTTGTAATAATTATAGCATTCTCTACAAAAATAAAATTTTCGTTCTCCCTTTATCTTAACTGTAATATATATTGACTTAAAATAAATACGAATTGAACGAAAAATATAAATTATGTTTCAAGGTACAATTATTTAAAATAAAGTTATAAAAATATAAAAAGAAATAATTTGCAGCAGTATTGATAGCTTTAAAATTTTGATAATATTTGTTATAATATCCTTATGATAAATCTGTTTGAATGATATAATTTTTCTCACAAAATTATCTGCAGATATTTACAAAAAAAGGGGTTTGTTGAATATTGAGATTTATTTCTCAAGTGTAAAACTTAAAAAATTACCAAAATAGGTTGCTCATTATAATATTTCCTAAATTTTTGTGTGCAGAGTCTAAGCTTACTCGTAAGAAATAAATTTACTTTACTAAGTAAACAAAATAAGGAATTAATTTACTTTTATACATGCTGTTTTTAGTTAATTTCAGCAATACATTTATAAAGACATTACATTTCAGTTATACATTTATATTTTATTTATTTTTACAGTTATACATTATTGTATATGCGTAAATGCGTAAACCTTCTTTCAGGTACATGTATGAGAAAAAAAAAAAAAAAAAAAAAAACTATTTTCCCTGTTTAACTTTTTGCTCGATTAAAACGCATTCAGTATCTTCATTCTAAATCAGAGTAAAACTAATGACTCTATTTTTTCAGAAATGACAAAAAATAACATTTTTGCAGACAATTTAACTAACAAATTCATATTTAAATCGTCGTCACAAAGGTAGTTTCACAAAAATTACTCTTTCCCAAATAAGCTCTCACATTCATGATTTCTGAAGAAAAATGTTAAGTATCTTATCCAAGATGGCCAAACACACTGATTACAAATTCCTTCCTGTATTTTTGAGACTGAAAGCAATGTCTTCCTTCTACTAAACGTCACTGGCCTATATTCGCATTTAAATGTTATCTTGAAAACATTATTGATTTTTTGCATTTGATTCATCGTTTCGCATTTCTTCCTCTTAGTTTTTTTTATCCCCTTATTTCTCTTCTTTTTTTATTTGGTCGTATCACTCAGGAATTACTTAAGAAATCTAGTTTCTTCCGGTACATTAGCGGTTTAATTCACTTCGCACGTTCGATCCAAATCAATGTCACTCTCAGCAATTTGTTGCTTTCATTGAGCGCTAAACGCCAATGCAATTATTGCTTTTGATATGCTGATTTCAGATTTTGCATTTCCTGTTAGAGATTTACCAGATTAAAATACCTTTTGAAGGCATGATGTTTGTGATAATATCGTTCCATAAGCAACTAAATGTTGATAAGCTTGGCTAATTATCCTCGCTAACCACTTCATGTTGACAGAACACTCTTTGAGTTAATAATCCTTTATTTTAAATCATACTTACAAGGAATAATGGTATTCCTCCGCGTATGCTCTCAGAGTGTGGATGTTAGCACATCTGTCTTGCACTGGAAGATCGGTGGTTCAAATTGTTGATTTTCATGTGTTCTGGCCCAAAAGACCTAAATACATCTACATATTCAATCACTGTACTTAATTTTCAGCATAATCAGCTTCAGTGTCTTCATTGTTATAATTAACCACAATGCGATTCCTAAAATTAATGCTGTCCATTATTAAAATGTTGTTTATTATTAGTCTATTTGGAGTAAATTAAATGTCTATTTAACTTTATACTATGTATGAACTAACTGTCTCTTTAGACCAGCGTAGTTCAACCTTTAGTTACCCGCGGGCTAAGGAGAGTGAGGGCAGAGACATTGAAGAAAGAAAATGAATTACATATTAATTAGTTTAATATATCACTTTATTTGACAGTCAAGAAATCAATGTGATGATTGGCAATGCTTTTTTGATGCAAGTTTATCAATGTCCACTGTAATACAAGTAAGCCAAAGTCTCAGACTCGATTCCAGTGAAGCACTTTCAATGTAATTTCTCGTTTTTAATTTAATTTGTTTGACAGTAGAAAAAGCACTTTCACACAAATATGTATGGCCAAACAATAATAACATTTGCAAAGGGAACTTTCTGCACTTTGGGAAAACGTTCTTTAGTAATCAGTTTCCAGAAATGTTCAGTGACTTCACACTTTTTAGTCTGGTAGAATAGATCTGCCTGATGATCTCAAATTTCCATTTGAAGGTCGCAGGCACCTCATTTACTTGAATCTCCATGGGGTTGTTTAACAATGAAAATTTTGATTTTAGGAAGTCAAAATCCTGGAATTTGTCCTGGAACTCAGGTATGAGTAATTCTTGATATGAGTAATTATTTCATGAAACACACTAAAATCCGTTTCATTTTCTTTCAGCTGTCCATAAAACTGGGATATATATTATTTTCTACGTTGTGCATTGTGGTTTTTAAGTTTAAAGCATTTAGACGGGATGTTAAATTTGTCAGAAAATCAAGATTATATAGAAATTGGATATCTTCCAGTTTTTCTTGATACTCATGCCCAATGTTTTCTTTTTTGAGTAAAGCAAGAATTTCATTCCTCAAGCCAGAAAACTGTTGCAGACAATTTTGACAGTACAATAAAATGTCACCATTCTCAGCATCCAAATTGTCCACAAATGCAATAAATGCTCTCTGTCTCTGTGCTTTGCCTCCCCTTTTTAAATTTACAGCAGTTTTCATTGTTTCACTGAGCCTTCTATTTTTTTATTATTGATTTATTATATTTAATATAACATAATTACTTATATTTATTATTTAAAGCAGTAAAAGGGTCTTTTATTTTTTTAAATCTTTAACTAACATTTTTTTTTCCCAGTAAGAAGGGCAAGTGCCAACAAAAGGAATAAGAGGGCTGCATGCAGCCCGCGGGCCGTGGGTTGGACCATCCTGCTATGGACTCTAAAAGCTCCTCTAGACGATGGCCTCTAAAAATTTAAACATGTATTTTTCTTTCACTATTATTCTTATTCTGAATGTAAATGGGATATAATCGTAGTTTTACAGTAAAGAAAGCTTCTTGCTCGAAAACTTAACATTTTAATAAATAAACGCAGTTTATTTTATAGTCATTAGGTTGCATCGATGAAAAATGTGCAATGGAATTTGAACTCCGGATTTCCCGCATACGCAATGAGCATGTTTCCAGTTACGCCACGAAGGCATGTGGAAGGGAGAAATACCTTACATACCCTCTTTTAAAGGGTGCCTGGAGTGAGGGGACCCAATCGCCATATACTGATGGTGACAAATTATCGTCTACCAATTTTAATTCGGGCGCCACTGGAAAAATCTTTCAAACTTTTTTTGAAGCGGGAAACCGAAGGAATCCTCAATACTCTTGCTGGGATTATTTACCGATTACGCTTTGGACTTGCTTCTAGTTACACCATGAAGTACACAGAAAAGAGGGATGAAATACCTTATAATAGGAAAAAGCTTTTGTTAATTGCTTAAACTTGGGGAGTTTCGTAAAAATGTTAATACTTAACCTTGGGAAGTTTCGTTCGTTGTAAATTGATTAAACTGTATTCATAGCAAACTAAACTTACAAGTTCTTGAAAATATTACACATAAGGTACTACTTACCTATAACATAATCGTACTCTGTTTTAACTGTTCGAGCAGTGTTGGGTGTATGTTTTTGCAGTGTGAGGGAGAGAAGTAACATGGGAAGAAGGGTTGAGTTGACCAAAGGAGTGTCATACACCCTTTCTGCTTCAATGTCCATTCTGCCTAAAAAAAGAAGCTGAAATAAAATCGTGCAATCGATAAGCCTGTGACGCAAAAACGATACCTAAAGAGGTACTTTTAAGACTTCTAAAGGCTTTATAAAAAAATAATAATAAGTTTCTTCAAAGTAAAATAAAAAAACGAATAAAGTTAATTAAACGTAAAAGGTCAATTTTAAAATTTTGAAAAATATTTTGAGTTACACAATACTTGAAATATTTTTCAGAAAACTGCTTGTGTTTATAAAGTCAGGAAATCTTAACTTTAAAAAATACTTTAATTGCATAATATGTATATACCGAATGATTTCTAATGCTCGTTGGATAGCCTGAAATGTTTACTCAATAAAAGGGGGCTACCGTATCATTTCGAAAGATCTACAGATATTCAGATTTCTTGACATTTTTCATGTCTGAAACTTCGTCACCTTGATTTTTTTAATCGGTCTATTTAAAGTAAAGGATTTGTAGAGATAAAATACAAAAGCTTTGAAAGGTCAAACGTCCATCATAGCATAAACACATCATTTCTCCCTTCTTGGATGCGTAGTAGGGTGTAATGAGATTTTTTAAAAAAAAGTTTCAAATTAAATTTTGATGCTACGAATTACAACACCATGTGGGAAATTTTAGAAATCGAAATTTAAAGAACAAAACACCAAATCTCTTGTGTACTAAGACATTTGGTGACTTCCTTCTAAATGATACAAACGCTATTTTTATTGTCGACTCAGCATTCTAACTCAATGTTTCTCAAACCTTTTAGACGAGCAATGGGAAGCAAGGCTGGGAATCTTTCGAGTACGCACTGATCCCGCCCGTTCGTCTGAAACAGACAAGCAATGGGACACAAGACTGGAAAGCGTTGGAGTATGCACTGCTCGATCCAGACGAACATTGCACGCTGATTTAAATCTTGGTACATTCCAATACGATGTTAATTATGATTGCAGTTTTCATACAAGTTTGGTCTTTGGAAAGATGGATATATAATGCGAGCCCTCAAATTTAAGAATGAACACTAAAAATGTGCCTCGTGGGTGCAAAAGTGAACCCGCCAGAATTAAATTCACCACCCGAACTATTATTAACATTGGCATAAGGAAAACGAAAAATGCAATATACGCACAAAGAAAACATTTCATAACAGAATTAAAATACAAACATTTGCTTTACTTTAAGTTGCATTGCAAGGCATGCCCGGTAAATGAACAATAGTGCAAAATAAATTAATAACATATATTCAGCAAATGTATAACAATGTAGTTCGCCAAACATAATTATATATTTTTTTGCGCTTTAGATAAATGTTGACAGAACTGAGAAATATTGATAAAAGTTAATGTTTTATGCCATAAACGTCAGCAGAGATTGTCCAACATTGTTACTTGCTGCAATGATTAAAATTCTAAAATTTAAATCCTTTGTTTGCTAGTTCCATAGTAAAACGCATATTTTTTAATAAAATTCGTATTGATTAAAGTATTTTCGATAGTGTGATTTTAACAGTACATTCCTTAAAATTTCATTTGAAACTGCAATTTAATTGTATGTTGTATTACAGGATTTTATTTTAATTTTTTTCCTCATATCACTGTATTAATATTTTCTCCTCCAAAAATGAAAAACTCAAATTAAATCTTCTTTTTAGAACGCTTTTCAGTTTGAATATGAATATTTGTAAATAACGCAATACTGTTTTTGCTTCTTACAATTTCTTCATAATATAATTAAAATCATAAACGTTCCAGAAACGCTGTTATTGATGCTATCTGACCAAGTTAAACAAAGGAAAATAATTGCATTACTACATCAAATTACAAATAATTTTTAAATTGGAGGTTTAACGAAAATATTATTTGTTAAAAACTCCTGTGGTTAAATAATTAATTAATTTACCCCTACTATCTCATTTGGGAATTTATATGTTATACCTAAAAAAAAGAAAAGACAAAAATAAAGGAAAGAATGAAAATGTGAAAGAATTCTGATTTTAATATAGCACCAGAGGGCTTGCTCATATTCTTTTATGCTCTCGCTTTGTATCGCATGTACTAATCTGCTAATGGTCTCACTCCTACTAACAGAACTTTTTTTTTTTTTTAACTTTATTGTTATGCGTCGCATTCTTCGCACTTACGTACATTTCAACATCGAAATCACAAAATTTTAAAAGAATTCCCGAAACAGAGTATTGGCACATAGTTTTCTATTTTTTCAGTCTCTTCTGAGATTCATATGCATGTTGAGTTTTCTTACAAAGATTTATTTAAAACCCAGCCACTCGCGTACGCCAGCAATCTAAAATAGTTACTGTAAAAGCGGAAAAGTATATTATGATTTTAATGAAAACAGATGTATGATTTTATTGAAAACAGATTTTTATAAAATGTCATTTTATAAAAATATTTAATATTTTTGTTAGATATCTTGTTATTTTAATGAATTTTTATTTAAATCAATGATTAAAAGCAGAAAAAATATTCTTAAGAACTGTGTTTATGGCTTTTAGATCGCTTAATTTGTTACCCTCTGAACTCCCAGTTTAAAATCTGAAAGTTAAATATCTTAGGCTTTACCGAACAGCAGTACGGCTGGGGAGTAAAAGATAAAAGTATTTCATTGCAGCTAGTGGCAACACATTGTTTTCAAACAGCTGAGCTTGTTAATTAAAACTCAAATATCTTTATAGTTTGCCGAATGCAATAGTCTAGCGTATAAAAATGTTTATTTCAATCAATATTGCCACTTCTCGCTTTCAAATCGCTGAGTTTACTAATCACAAATCCATTAAATTTATACAAAATATAAAAGACAAATTCGGAATTCAAAATTCAAGCTTCGAGATGCACATATTCGGGTGGAGGACTATGTTTATTAAAAATTGGATGGATCTAGGTGCCATCGTTTTTGCCATCGCCATATAATGCAGCTTCTTCGTTAAGTAATTTTGTTTTCGGGATAATATTTGGTGGCGACAGTTTGAAAAGTGATACGGACGCAAAGTGAATTTCCAGTCCTGATAGCAGCTTTAATGAGGAATAAAAAAAAAACTCACTCAGAAATTTGCGTCATTTTTGCGCTGAAGAATGCCGCTGCTCTGAATACAACTGCCTCTTGAAATGCTATGATTTTGAGAATAATACTGCTATCCTCGTCTTTTGCATGGCCTTTAAGAATTGTTTAGCACAGGGGTCGCCAAAGTGGTTCATATAGACCCCTAGGGGTCTATTTAACAACAGTCTATCTGACCCAAGGGGTCGAATGGGGGTCTATTGGGACTCGAAGGAAAAACAGTTCTTAATACGCAAATCACACATATCTAACTGCGTACGTAAAAATTTAAAATATTTTTATAATTGGCTTAATATTATATTCTTTATAGAAAATAAAAATCAGAAAACAATCTGCCCCTTTTTTCCTTATGGTTTTTCGTATGTATACCGACATGTGTTCGTATGTGTCCACGACAGAATTTCTGAACGAAATAAATCCTGTTCTGAGCAATGAACTCCAAAACAATTAGAACCATATTTTTTATTTAGCAGACTTATTTGGAAAATTTAATGACGTTCAAACAAAACTGCAAGGAAAAGATGTAACAATTATCCAAGCTCGGACAATACTGTTAGGCTTCCAAGTAAAATTAAATTTATTTAGATCTTCATTGCTACGTACGGATTATAAGTATTTTTCAAATCTGAAACAATTAAAAATAAAAGAAGAAGACTTGGAAATATATACAAATCATCTTCAAAAATTAAACGACGATTTTAAACTGCGCTTTGTTGATTTGGAAAACATCGACATCCCTGATTGGATTATTGCGCCATTTTCGGCGCAAATTGATAACGTCGACATCAACATACAAGATGAGCTTTCTGAACTATTGTCCGATCTTGAAGCAAAAACGCTTATTAAAAATTTGACAATACATAAATTTTGGACTAATATAAATATAAAGCAAAAATATGTGAAACTTTACGAAATGGCTCAGCCATTTATGCTGGCGTTTCCAAGTTCGTATATGGTTGAAGCCGGTTTCAGTCACGTTAATTCAATTTTAACAAAAACAGAAATAAATTAAATGTGGAGCTTCGAGGGGATTTACGGTTAAAATTGACTAATTTCGAACCCAATATAGCGAACCTTGCCAAGAAACACCAGGCACACTCATCTCATTAAGAAGTAAAAAATCTGTAGCTACTTTACTTACTGTTTCTGATTTATTAAATATTTAGACTAATATAAAGTTTTATTTTAATTACCTGAAAATTACCTTTGTGTGGGTCTATGGAGATTTCGAAAAAATTATATAGGGGCGATGATCAAAAAAGTTTGGCGACCCCTGGTTTAGCATCATATCAGTAACTTGTTACGTAGCTCGTGCAATTAACATTTTTTCTTTAAAATGCCGTAAACGAACATAAGTTTTTGTCAACAGACTTGCCAGTTTTTCCCCGCATTTTACAGAAGCTATTCGGACATATTTTAATTTTCTTCTTTTTATGGCGTAAAGAATAGATCGTTGCAGGACACCGACAGGTAGAGTGAAATTTCAATTTCTGAAAAATAATTATGAATAATAAAGGTGTTTATTCGTAATTATTTTTCAGAAAGTCAGAAGTTCTTAAAAAAGGAATCATGTGGCTAATATGTAGGAACCGAATGATTTTTCTTGCTAAATGAAAGCAGACAGCCATGTTTAGAACAATGCTTTCCAAGCTTCTTAACATCGCACTTGCATGCTGCAATTAATCGCAATTCATAGTAACACAGTTTCATTGAGAGAAAAAACAATTGTAGAAGAAAATAATGTAATACTGAATAGATGCGTGCAATTATTAAAAATTAATTAACAATTACAAATGAGCAATTATTAATAAGCCAGTAAAAATAATACTTAAACAAGTAGTTAATGATTATAATTAAGTAAATATGTATAATAATATAATAAAAACTAGGACGAAAAGCTTTCAGTTCTTTCCCTAGCGTTATCAAAAATATCATCTTCGGA